GTGACGACCTCCGCCCTCTGTTCCCATATCATCTCGTCAGTCAGATGGCCATGATCTTGGGGGTGCCCGATATCCACCTATCTGATTCTAAAGGTTGCCATTGGAGCTTCCCCTTCCTGTGTCCCATGCAATTATCCTCTCAGTTGTCTTCAGAGTAATATGGTCCCTCTCAGATTGTGTCCAGACCTCAAACGCTGACCTTGATAGCTTTACCACTTCTGTGAGCATCTGGGAAAATGGAAGGCGACCCCATTTGTTCAAGCTTCTCCTATCTTCAATCTAAACCTTCTATGTGTACTTCCAGCTCTCCAGCCCAGGTCCTTTTGCCCTCCAAAAGAGGTCAAAGGGCCTGAGCTGAAACCCCTTCTACATGTGTGGCTCCCACTCTTCACTGTTTTGGCTCACTGTATCTCCCTCTCCCACCCAGGAATTCTGACTTTATTTTAGAACCAGCTCTGGTCCAAAGTCTCCTCCCCCTGTCTTATCAATGATCCTCCCCCAAGTTTGGGAATGGCTGTCTCCATGCTTTCACAGCCCTTGTCCTCCAACAGGTCTTTGCCCCAACCTCTCTTGGTCCAGTTTTAGCATAAGAATAGTAAGAGAGTGGTATTCCCATCCTTCTGAGCTCCCTGTTTATTGAGAAGCAAATTAGGTATCCCACCCTTCCAATGGCTCTTTTGTTTCATCATGAGCAAGCCAGACAAAAAATCAGGTCTTTTGACCTCCACACCAGAGGACTTCTTGTCTTTGGTACATCAGCCACTGGCCCACAGTCACCTTTGGGAACTGTGTGGCAGCTGCCCGAACTTCTGTTTCAGAGGCAGTCCCAAGTGGCTGACTGTTGACTATGACATCATGGGCCTAAGGTGTTCTTAGGGTAAAAAAGCAACTGTAACTAGACACTGAGTTTGAAGAAATTTCTCTCTTTGAGTCTAATTTTAATTGAATTGATAGAGATATAACATAGTATAATATCAGCATCTTAAGTTATTTAGGTATAACTGTTAATTTAAATTAGGTAAAGGCAAATGAGATAAATGTGTCTAAATGTAAACTTTGGTACTCTCAGCATACTATATTCTATAAAAACTATTTGAGTTTGTTTAACAAATATGTTTTCATAATCTGTCCATAAAAATAGTTCAACACTGCTTAAAGTAACTAAGGCTGAAATTTGATGTGTTGTCTTAATTTGGAGATTTTTAACAGGTTATTTCAAAATGTAAATCAAGGAAATTGGCAGATGGAAAACATCACAAGTATAGAATGTTCTTGGTAAGGAAGGTTAAGAAGGAGTTTTTTTTTTGTTTGTTTGTTTGTTTTTTTTAATAAAGGACATGATTTGTAAGAATTACTTCATCCTGATGGCTAGTTTATAGATAAAAGATTGCTCATAAATTTAAACTGCTAAAATTAATCAAAGATCTATTTTGATTCATGTGACCTAAATCTCTGTATCAGATGTTTTAAATTTATTGCTAGAAAGAAACTAACAATGTTTTATATGCTTGTGCTTGAATTTGTTGGTTAAACAAGCTATACCATGTTAGATATTTGAGATGTTTCCAAATACATGTATTCTTAAAATTTATAGAAGGCATTGGACCTTCCAGTAAATGTTTTCCTAAGTTATTATTTAAGGGTTGGGATTGCTTGCTAAATTTTCATTTGATATTGCTATTGTCAGAAAGCAATCTGGGACTTGCTCCCTCATTTCTCTATTCTAAGCCTGATTTTTTCCCTCATTTCTCTATTCTCTTCAAGGTGGGAAACTGACTCTATACTGAAGGTCTCCAGGATGCACAGTTTGATCTTCAGACTTTATAAAAGGATGGCTAACATTTTCTGTAACCGCATAGCCAAAAGAGAGCTAAATTATAATTTCACAGCTAGATTTACTTCACCATGGTGAAGACCAAACAATGGGAGAGAAAGTTTTAAAATGAGGACATAGCTTTCCTCATGGGCATTGTCTAACTAAAAATAAATCACTATCAGAACATGCCTGTGACTATAGACTTATAGTTTAGGCCACTGAAGAGTAGAGATGGGACTTGAGCACTCCCTTGACTTGCATCCTCTGATCTGCTTTAACAAAAACCAGGAGGAAAAGAAAGCTAGGCATCAGGAGCAATGTAAAGATAGGTGGCAGGAGAGGTGGCAGACCTAGTAATGGCTACTTTGTACAGTGATCTGCCATCAAGGAAACCCAACAGGCCATCCCACTGCATTGGTTTTCAACATGGAAAGCCAGGGCTTCAGCAGAAGTCCGTTTATAAAGAGCCCTGGAGTCGAAAGACAACCAGGTCAGAGCCACAGACCTTGCTGGCTCTAAGCTGAAGAGCCCTTCACTTGGCTCAGAGTCCAAAGTGACCACTGCTGCTGAGGGGATGGCCAAGTAGGGTCAGTAACATTGCAGGCACAACTGTAAATTTCCTGCTAGAGATGACACCTGCCCTTACCTGGCCAGCTCTCCTCCCAGACCAGTTAGGTAATGGAAGTCAACAGGGTGCCTTCCCCAAGGAGGTTCACACCTCCCTTAGGATGTATCCCATGTGAAGAGATAGATAGGTCTGGGCCTCATAACTGAAAAGCCTTAAAGCCCACCCAGATCATTATCAAGCCCCTTTTGTCAGTTTCTATTTGCCTCTCAATCGGAGAACTTATTCATGGCTTAGACAGCACCTTTCTGAAGGTCCTCTAATAATGACCCTGTCCTTTGTTCTAGATCCTATCTAGCCCATTTGGGGCCTCATTGCTTTGTAAGCATAGCTTCTACTCTTACATCTGGCTCTACTCCTGACCTGTGTGTATTGATGGTCCTCTTCCCCACTTAATGCTGTATGATTGTTCAAGATTTTCTCCACAGACAAACCCCTCTACCTGCAAGAGACAAGTGGTCTTTTCTCCCAGTCTTGGCTGAGGTAACCTTTAAACCACATCCATCAAACAGCCTTCACAAGGATCCAGAAACCCCTCCACTCATTTCCTCCCCTCTATGAAATCCTCTCATTACTTGGTTAATCCACTCCTAGGACCATTGGTTACTATTCTCACCCAGTCTTTATACTACCAAGTCTGTTTAAGTGTTTATAGGAGATGATAATGGAACAAACCAAGACCTTCAACAGCCAGAGAGTCAACCAAATGCCACTACAGGGATATACTCGGCTCCCCACACAGCCAACAGTGGCTTGAGACATTGCCCCATGTCAGTAAGAAGTAACTCTAAAGACAGATCATCATCCCTCTACCCTTCCTGGATATTGAGGCTAATGTAATCCCATATAACCCCTGCTTTATAAAAAAACAAACAGTGGGAACATTAATAAAATGGAACAGTCTTATCTACAGCACGATCTATGCTCCAAACACTATCCTAGGCTCTAGTCCCTACCAGCATTGCTGGAATCCAGGTGGTCACATGGCCCAACCACTGGTGTCAGCTCTACCCCTACCCTAATGGGATTTGCTGCCCCTCTTTCCCTGCCCGCATCCCAGGGAAAGTTTTAAGAGGGTCTGTTTCTGAACACGTGGCTGTATTTCTCTCTGTCTCCTGATCTCTCTCGTTCACTCGCTCGCTCTCTCGCTCTCTCTCTTGATCTATCTTTTACAGTCTCCTTCTCCCTCTTTTCCTTCCTTGCCCCTTCCCTCCAGTCTGTCAAGTTTCCCCCAATAAATCCTTTCCCTTACTCTGGTGTTTGGTGTGTTTTGTGGCAGCCTTACGACCCCTGTACCCACATGGGAGACCTGGAAGAAGCTCCTGGCTTCTGCCTGGCCCAGCCCCAGCCATTGTGGTCACTTAGGAGTGAACCAGCAGATGGAAGAACTCTTTCTCTCTCTGGCCCTCCCTCCCTCTCTAACTCTTTCAAATAAATAAAATAAAATAAATCATTTTTTTTAAAAATAGGTACAGAAGCTGGAGCACAAAGGAATCTAACATAAAATAGAACCAGACTGATTTTCTCACAAGTGTGATGATTATCAACCTCCACTTTTCCACATGGCAGTTGATGGAATTAGCAAGCACATTACTTCACTTCAGTAGGAAACATATTTCTGAAATTTGGACTGTGATCATAAACTCTGTGGACACACCTTTTCTGAGAAGTTAATTTGCAACAACAGGCAGAGAAAATAACATTGTTTTCAATTTTGTAGCAAAACCTTTCATCAATAATACCATCCTGCATTTGAAGCTGAAATATATGGATGATGCATATGATATTTTTAAAATACTGTACAGAGGATATTATACAAAAATTTTGTTAATATGTTTTGTTCAAATTATAAAAGTTAATAGTTTTTTTTTCTGTGTTAGTACTTAGATAGAAGAAAATACCTACACAGCAAGAAAGAAAACTAACGATGAATCTAGTAAATCATGAATAAATAAATACTGAGTTTTTAGATACTACAGCAAGAATATATTCATAACCTTAACATTATATTATAGCAATAGGTAAATTATTTTTCTATTTTTGTATCAACACATCACAGATATGCTTATGTTCCATCAGAACAATGTAAAAATGTCTAATCTAAATAATCCTAAAGTTCATTGTCAATGGCATGCTGAGTGTTCATTTAAACTACTCATTTCAATAAAGATTTGATATGATTTCATATTTTAGTATGAAACACAAAATCTACCTTGACTCTAAACTAGGTATTGCAAATCAGTTAGGAATTCTTTCAAAGAATTAACATCTAATACTCTAATCCAGTTAGGTGAATTTATCTGTTTCAGATGTTTAAATACAACATAAAATATTTAAATTTTCTTACAAAGAAACAAATTATAAAAACTATGAAATATTTTTAAATAGAGAAAATTAAACATTTGGTTTTAAAAATAGAGTTCTAATATATAAATGAATGTAACTTTATAAATAGCAATTTAGATACATGTTGTTTTAAATGTTAAGTAATAAAAACATCTAATTATGATTGTCGCTCCCTGTCTTTGTGGAGGAACGACACAGGACCCTGTGCTGTTCTTTTGTCTGCTCTGCCCTCCCCGGGTTTGCTGCTGGTTCTTCCCGGGTTGGCTACCCTGCCACTTTCCCCACTTCCGCAGGGGAGCGGCACACCGCCGGCCGGCTCTCTCGGGGGCTGCACAGGTGTTCCTTCAGATAGATGTTCCCCTTAGATGTTCCTGGTGCATGTTGTCTCTCTCCTCCTTTATAGTCCTCTTCCACCAATCCCAACTCTGCTACCCACACGCCGAGTACGCTGCTCTCCTCCAATCAGGAGCAGGTCCTACAGTTTATTGAACTGGAGGCAGCTGTGTAGAAGCTGTTTCCTCCTCTCCCAGTGCCATATTGTGGGAGAGCAGATACATAGAATAAGTCTTAATTCCAGTAACTTAGTCTAGTCTGAGTTGCTCCCAGTTGCTCCCCACAGATCCCCCTTTCTTTTTATTTTTGGCGTTGATATGCGCCTGTCTTCGGTGCCCCGCGCCACACGCTCTGCTCTGCTTGCTAGAGTTGCCCACAGGTGCTTACAAGCCCTACCAATCAGGCAAACCGAATCCGGGTCCTCTCTTCGCCATGTTGTGAGGAGGTTTTTAGGCACTGATGTGTGCCTGTGTTCGGTGCCCTGCAGCGCATGCTCTGCTCTGCTAGAACTGCCTGCAGGTGCTTACAAGCCCTACCAATCAGGCAAACCGAATCCAAGCCCTCTCATTGCCGTCTTGTGGGGGAGACTTATTGGTGTTGATAACGTGCCTGTCTTTGGTGACGTGCAGCGGGTAAGCTGCTAGCCGCCAGCAGGTGCTTATCGTCTTACTAATCAGGCAGACCGAATCCAAGCTCTCTCATTGCCATGTTGTGGGGAGGCCTTATTTTTCTCTATTTCTCTATCTCCGGGCATTCCTATTTCTCCTATTTTACTTCTATCTGCCAGCATTCCTATTTCTCTCATTTTACTTCTATACTTCTGTTTCTCTTATCCCCGCGGCTTCCCGGCGCCCACCCCGAGGCTGCTTCTCAGCGCCTAGCCCCGTGTTCCCTATCTATTCACGCCCCGTGCTCTCTCTGCACGCAGCGGCTTCAGCGAGTCACACAGCCTAGCTCACGTTTCCGCCACCACCGGTATTCAATCTAAGTTCCGCGGGCTAACCTGGCGAATTCAACCTAGCCTACATTTCCGCCTCACGGTTTGGCTTGCCGTCTTTTGCTCCCCGGGCTAATCTGACGGATTCCAACCTGGCGGCCCACGTATGCCTCTGGTTCCAGATTTTCGCCTTTTGCTCCCCAGGCTGACTTGAAGAATTCCAAGATAGCTTACGTCTCCGCCTCGGCCTGCCCCCGCGGCTGCATCCTCCCTAACATTTTTCTCTACCCGGTATGTTTCCTAACTTTTCTTGCAACAATATTCCTCCCTCATTTCTCCTGGCTTCTCCCCACAGTCCGTATCCGAGTCTAAGTTTCTTCTTGCTTTCACTTTAAATCCTAACTTCTTTCCCACAGTCCGTAGCCGAGTCTATGCCTAGGCTTTCGATAGCTTCTTCCGGCACCTTTTCTGTCCGGCTTTCCCCTAGGCTCTTTGCTAGTCTCTCTCTCCAGTATTTTCCCACTTCTTCTAGCTTCTTCCCTCCTAAGTTTCCTATCCGAGTCACGGCACCATTATGTCGCTCCCCGTCTTCGTGGAGGAACGACACAGGACCCTGTGCTGTTCTTTTGTCTGCTCGGCCCTCCCCGGGTTTGCTGCTGGTTCTTCCCGGGTTGGCTACCGTCCCTTCCACCTCCGTGGAAGGGCGGTTCCCCCTGCCACTTTCCCCACTTCCGCGGGGGAGCGGCACACCGCCGGCCGGCTCTCTCGGGGGCTGCACAGGTGTTCCTTCAGATAGATGTTCCCCTTAGATGTTCCTTGGTGCATGTTGTCTCTCTCCTCCTTTATAGTCCTCTTCCACCAATCCCAACTCTGCTACCCACACGCCGAGTACACTGCTCTCCTCCAATCAGGAGCAGGTCCTACAGTTTATTGAACTGGAGGCAGCTGCGTAGAAGCTGTTTCCTCCTCTCCCAGTGCCATATTGTGGGAGAGCAGATGCATAGAATAAGTCTTAATTCCAGTAACTTAGTCTAGTCCGAGTTGCTCCCAGTTGCTCCCCACAATGATATTATGGCTTGTTGGCTTTCTCCTAAAAATATAATGTACAATGTCTTAAGAATATTAGACTTCCCAACTTGTGAACTCATTAAACATGGGGGTTATATATTATTCATCTTTGAACAAATATCACTTGGCACCAGTCTTATTTTATTATATATGCTAAATAATTATCTCCTAACTAAACAAATCCTAAAATTGACAGATTGAGAGTCATTCTACCTAAAATCTGAAGATTTTATTTTAATAAGCATCATTGTATTTATCTCTTTATGATGTATTTTCTAGATTACTTCAACAGTTTGTTTTTATCTTCAACCTTTCACTGTTACAGAAGTTAAATAACAATCTTTCACACTGTTTTCAACTCATTTAACTGCTTAAGAATCTTCAGTAGTAAACTTTCACTTTTAAAACAAAATGTTAATTTTGTGTCCAAGTAAAACCTAGTCCAAAGCACAGAATTTCTACTCCACTCAGATTCACTTCCTAATATAAACGTGCATATGTTGTGTCCATATTGTTCATCTTCTATGTGAATCTCACTTCCTTATCAAGACAGGTGTAGTCAACAGGTTTCCTCTCTTACTGCAGAATTCTGGTTAATAGACACCATCATATATGGGATTTTTAAAATCATAAATGAAATAGTAATATAAAGCAAAATCTCAAAAGCAATACAGTAATCAATAAAAAACAGGAATAAGAGCCACCAACACCTTTTCAGAGTATTGTCAGTGAGCCATCAATTTCAGAAATACTTGGTATTGATTACTAAAATTCAAAGGTTTTCAGCATAAATGTTAGGTCAAATTGTTAGCTCTGTTATTCTGGCAGAGACAAATTGTGTTTGGGCTCAGAAAAGAACATTTGTGTTATTATGTTTCACTAAACAGCTTGTATCACAGAATATCTGAGATGAGGCTATAATCTGCTGCTTCCGGGAAGAGACAGCCTCCTTTCCATTCCTTGTATCACAATGTGTCCATTGTGTCCTCAGGGAATTACAAATTTGGGCAGGCTGGCAAATTCACATAATATGCATTATTGAATCAAAACAATTGTACAACTGGTTATGTTGGCACTGGTCCCAAAAAGCATGAATCATTAACTGTGAGACATATAACATTAACAAGAACTATAAAAAATAAATGATATATTACATCAAAATCAGCCACCTTGTCTTACCTGTTTCAAAAGAAAAAAAAAAGAGAGAGAGATCAATAGTAGTAGTTATGTATGATTAAGTAGAACAACTGCCTCTGCCACTCAAACTCTTGGTTCTTTTCTTTGCATTTCCAACCAAATATCTTCTTCTGACAAACATTTCCTGCTCCCTCCACCTTTTCAAGAAGGTGATATATTAAGGTAAAAATGGTATCTGATTAAACATCATAAATAGTATCTCGAAATCTGGACACACAAATGGAAGTTATCAGGAAAACACAATATTATTAAATTAAAAGTGAAGTCTATTGATTAGAAAGTTCAGGGGAGGGGCCAGCATTGTAGTATAGTGGGTAAAGCTTCTGCCTTCAATGCCAGCTTCCCATATGGGCACCAGTTCAAGTTTCAGATGCTCCACTTCCAATCCAGAGTCCTGCTAATGTGCTTGGGAAAGCAACTGGAAGGTGGAAGAGGTAAGAGGGATAAAAGGAATCTGGATTTGAAAAATAGAAGTTGGGTGTGGGTTATGGATTGTGAGAAATATACTAATATAAGATGTTAATAAGAGGAAAAACTGGATGTGGGGAATATGGGGACTCTGCACACCTCTACAATTTTTATTTTACAAATTCAAAACTATTCTAAAATAAAAAAATTAAAAATGGTACTGCCATTTTCTCAAACTTAACATATTTCTCTGAAAGTATCTCACCTTTTTCACTATGATAGTGAAGAAAAAGTACAATAAAATTTGTACTGGGAGGGCTGGCATTGTGGTGTAGAAGGTAAAATTGCTGCCTGAAACACTAGCATCCCATATGGGTGCTGGATTGTGTCCTGGCTTTGCCACTTTTGACCCAGCTCTCTGCTAAAGGTCTGGGAAAAGCAGCAGAAGATGGTCCAAGTGTTTGGGCCCTGCCACCAACACTGGGAGACCCAGATAAAGTTCTTGGTTCTCGGCTTTGGTCTGGCCCAGCCCTGGCTGTTGCCAGGCCTTCTCTCTCTCTCCATAACTCCGCATTCAAATAAATAAATACATCTTTTAAAAAATAGATACTAGTATGGGGGCCCACAATGCGGTGGAGCTAAGGTTAAGCTACCACTTGCAATGTCAACATCCCACATCAGAGTTCTATTTGGAGTCCTAGCCCTTCTTCTTCCAATCCAACTCTCTGCTAATGCACCTGGAAAAGCAGTAGAAAATGGCCCAATTACTTGAGCCCCTGCGACCTATGTGGGAGACCCAAATGGGGTTCCCAGCTCCTAGCTTCAGCCTGGCTCATACCTAGCTGTTTATACATTTTAGGAATGAATCAATGGATCAAAAACCTTTCTTCTTTGTCTCTCTGTCTCCTTCTTTTCCTCACTCTCTCTTCCTGTTCCTCTCTGTCCTTCTGCTTTTCAAATAAATAAAAACAATTTTTTAAAAATTACATTTATCCCAAAATATACTTACACTTTATAAGTTGGACAAAAGGAATTTTCATTATATAATGTTTCTTACTAAAAACCCACATGATAGAAATGGACACTATGAGAAACAGTGACTTGATCAGCTCTTGTCCTGACGGTTGATGTACAATGTAATACTTTATCCATTTTAGTATTTTTTTTTTGTTCCAGTACCATTGGTTGAACTCTGTAATTAACACACAATTATTCTTAGGTGTTTAAATTTTAACTGAAAAGTGATCCCTGTTAGGAATTTGGAAAACATTATGTTAAGTGAAATAAGCCAATCCCAAAGGGACAAATACCACTTGTTCTCCCTGATAGGTGACAACTAACTGAGCACCAAAAAGGAAACCTGTTAAAGTGAAATGTACACTATGAGAAATGGTGACTCAATCAGCCCTCACTCTGACTGTTGATGAGCAGCTTAATATGTTATCCCTCTTAGTATTTTTTTTGTTTGTTCTACTTAATATTTTTGGTTGAATACTGTAATCAATACACAATTCTTCTTAAGTGCTGAAACTTAACTGAATAGTGATCGCTGTTAAATATAAGAGTGGGAATAAGAGAGGGAAGAGATGTGCAATTCGGGACATGCTCAAGCTGGCTTACCTCAAACGGTGGAGTTAGAAACATACCAGGGGATTCCAATTCAATCCCATCGAGGTGGCATGTACCAATGCCATCTCACTAGTCCCAGTGATCAATTTCTGTTCACAATTGATCATAATGATAGGACTAAGAACCAAAGGGATCACATAAACAAGACTAGTGTCTGCAAATACTAGCTGATAGAATAAAAAAGGGAGAGAATGATCCAACATGGG